CCGAGGTAGCGCAAGCTGTATTATCACAATTCGTTATTACACAACCTATGTGCCTTTTTCAAAGCATGTTTTATCTTTATGTCAAGGTTTAAGGTTCCAGGGTTCCTATGTAATAGATAGGGACGGAGATAAGTTCAGACTGGCAATATTATGACTAGAACTGCGCACTTTTCTGTCTTATCAGTTATCTTCCCGACTCGATTCCATTGAGACTTAACATCAGATGGAGTGGGGTAATATACTGTGCCTCATATAAAAAAGAAACGTAAATATCATCATAATTGGTTCAGCGACTTATGCATAAAAATGTACAGGACAATCAGATACATTAGAAGGCTTAGACAAAGTTTATTAAGCCACCCCATGTGCGTTACAAGCTCAACACAAGCCGAAAAAAAGACTTCTTCACCTTGCCGACGTGAACCCAAACTTATACCCAGCGGAGTCCTGATTCCTGAAACTTACTCACCAACAGAAACAAGTTACTATCAGAGAGCTTTGTACCGTTATTGTGGTCCTCTGTGTCAGGTGAAAGTAACTTCTCCAGCTAGGCGTTCCACTTCTAAGGAAAAAGCTTTGCTCTGATTCTGAAATTCTTGAATTTTTATAGGTAAGTAAAATAAATAAAGCTTTTATATGAGAATAAATTACTTACTCATTCGTGCGTAGTTGTTGATAATTTTATATCATCATCAGCCTATTAATGTCCCCACTGCTGGGGCCCAGGCCTACCTTATAGATGGAATAGGGAGATTGGGTTATGACCAACCACGCGGGCCCATTGCGGACTGGCAGGTGCTAACAACTGCAGATGCAGCCGGGACTAATGACTTAACGCGCCTTCCGAAGCACGGTGGAACTCGAGATAGAAGATTTTTGGTCACCCATCCAATGACCAACCACTGCGAAAGTTGCTTTACTTTATTTATTTCTTTATTGCAGCCGAACGCGCTAACTACCCGCGCCATCGACCTCTTCGGTAATTTTATATTCTTCTTCTTCTTCTTCTAGTGCCTCTCCGAATAGCGAAGGTTGGCAGTCAGCTTAGCATATGTCTCCTTATCCTTAGCGAGATGGAATAATTCAGCGGCGCTCGAGATTCCAGTCCATTCTCGTAGGTTCCTCAACCAAGACTTCTTCCTGCGACCGACATCTCGTTTTCCAGCAACTTTGCCCATCATTATTAATTGTAAAAGGGCGTACCTTTTGTGTCTCATCACGTGCCCTAGATACGCAACCTTCCTCACTCTGATGGTATCCCAAAGTTCGCGTTTCTTGTCGACGTCGCAGGATTTCATCATTTGTTACCATTTGAGTGCCACTAACTTTCAACATTCGTCTGTAAGCCCACATTTCGAATGCTTCTATACGTTTTCTGAGCTCTATTTTAATAGTCCAAGACTCGCATCCGTATAGAAGTATTGGCCAGACATAGCAATGCAGAAGCCGAGTACGGAGTGAAATGTGAAGATCATGGTTAGTAAGCACTTTTTACATAGTATGGAAGGCACTACGGGCGACTTCAATGCGGGTTTTTATTTCAGTGTCACAATCCCAGTCTTCATCAGCCAGGTGCCTAAATATTTGTACTTGGTGACTCTTTCTATCTGGTGACCCGATATTCTAACCGTAGTATTCAGGTCGACATCACGGGACACAACCATTGGCTTGGTTTTGTTGATGTTCATCTTCAAGCCAGCTTTCTCACTCAACCCATTCACGCGCTCGACAATCCTCTGTAGATCTGTCACCGATGAAGCTATAAGTACTGTGTCATCGGCATAACGAAGGTTATTGATTAGGCGTCCATTGATTTTAATAGCACAGTTGATATCCTCAAGCGCTTCAGCCATAATAGCCTCTGAGTAAAGATTAAACAACATAGGGGACAAGATGCAACCCTGTCTAACTCCTCTTTGGATATCTAGCTCTTTAGAGTCTGTTCCCTCAACTCGAATTGTAGCACACTGGTTCCAGTAAAGATTCTGAATTATTCTTATGTCTTTATCATCAAGGCCAATGCCTCTCAGAAGTGCGATAAGTCTATCGTATTCAACTCTATCAAATGCCTTTTCGTAATCGACAAAGCACATGAACACATCCTGCTTCATGTCTCTACATTTTTGAACCAGAACATGCATCGCGAAAAGAGCCTCCCTAGTACCCACACCGGAACGAAACCCAAACTGACTATCAGCCAGTTGCTCATCACACTTCTTCCTAATAAATTTTATATTAGATACTTAAATTTATTATGTGTATATTGCAATTGTAATCAATTTCAATGAACCAGTACAGGATTTGTATTGTCTTCACTTCATTAGTGACAAATTGACAATTCATGCTTTCGTATTTAACTAGTTTACAAAACACTGATAGCTCCCTTTCCAATTCAGGTTAATGCATGCTTAATGTGTTTGGAGAATGAATGAGGCTGGCAAGTTTTTCGGAATAAAAGAATTACGTATTAAAATATTATTATATTGGAATTTACTTTCCAAAGATCTAAAGAACCAAACCATACAGTGTCTTCGTGTGAACTTTTATTTTCGTGAGTTTCATGCAGAGGTAGGGCATGGAATATGCAGGTGATTTAAATAAGGCTATTTTTATATTCTTTGACTTACGAATTGTCAATAAAATAAATATTATTAAAAATATTTATGGCGATAACAATATTTTTTTTATTAAAAATTATTTTATTTATATATATAGAACAACTTCAGCCATTCTAGAATATAAAATTACACAAGATTATATAGCATAATTGGATCCAAGCAAAAATTTTGTTTCTTATTGGATAAAAATAATACCAATTACTATTTTTGGTATTATTTTTAAAAATGTTTATTTTTCATAATTTAGTTAATTTTTAATAATAATCATAATATGTATATATTGGCAGCAAATATCTCCAAAAATATAACTATATATATATGCCAACATAGACTTTACTTGTTTCATATAATTATTTTTATCACCAATGAAAAAATCTATTCCGTCAAATTGTGCATTGGAATTTTCTGTAATTCGTGACAAGACTTTATTCTTACCGTAATATGTGCTATGAGGTTGGACAGCAAACAGGTGTGTAATCCAAGCTTATTCTGCGTTTATTAATAACGGGACAATAATTTAGTGCAGGAAGTTAACTAGCGAAAAAAATTAACAATAAATCATGCTTATTTCCTAGTGCCCTTTTGGGGAGATAACCTCCACCTAATGGAAGATCGCAGTAAATACTTTAATATTTCGTTGGTAAAGTTGGCTATGTTGGAGTGTGACGTCGGAATCGGAAGCCTTCTCGCGTGATCCGTTGCTTGGCCCGTGGCATTCGTGCTGTGGGAATGGCAATGGAATTCTGGTCGGTGCACTTTTGGCGGCTACGTATCAATTTCTCTTTGGGTCTGTATACGCAGTCAGCGGATATCCGACAGGAAGAGAAGGAGGAGAAGAAGGCCGCCTTTTGAGGGCCAAGGGGGATTGATATCTGTGGAGTGGTGATGGTCTGTTGTCTGTCGCGCGGGATACTTCGCAACGTAGTGGTAGCGCCTACTAGCCGGCTCTAGTGCGCGACGCACTTGGTCCATTGGACGCGGAACAAGCCGGGCTGTATTACACAATCTTTGCCCCTGGGATGTGGAACAAGGCGGGTGCATGAACCCATTTCGGATAAGCAGTGGATATCTGCTGCAATATATCAATCCGAAGTGCACCTCCCTTGGGTGAAGAGGTAAAACGGACCTTCTCAGGGCCAGAGTAGGATTATCACTTCATGCGAGAGCCGCGAGTTTGTCCTAGGGGGGTCAGGCTTGCATTGCACTAGCTGATGATGATGATGATGACCAACCCAAACGTACTTAGTGTTACCACGGTTCAACCCGCACTCCAGGACCTTGCTCCTTTGAGTGCGTGTCGGGTGACCGCTCATTTCATTGAGCCCTGAGCTGGATGAAATAAGTGGGGAGGAGTCCATAAATACCCTCGCCATGCTACCTCCGGTGGGCGAGAGAGGCGTCTTGCCTTTTTCAGACAAAAGTTAGCTATGTCAGCTATATGGTATGCATGTTTTGTTGGTAGTCCCAGGTAAGTAAGTATTGGGTTCAGGCCAGGACGGCAGGAGCAGCACATATCTTTCGCATCAGTAACATTTGTATGTTTAAATGGCGGCAACAAACATATGGCACGCCTGATTGTAAGCGGCTACCATAGTCTATAGATACCAAAAATATCTCGCGTCGTTGCCTACCCTGACTCAATCCCTACCCCGTGAATACCTTCATAATTGGATTTCACTTACATTTCTATCAGGTGTAAGTACCTAGCGGGGTAATTTGTGGAGCCTTGTATGTAAATGTGCCAAGAATTACTGAAACCTTGACATATTATTACTTATTTTCTTAACTTTATTTTATGTAAAAATGGTTTAGTACACGTACGTTACAGATAGTTTAATTAGTAACCAGTTATATTTGTGACTTTGTGCATGAAACTGGATTAACCTGTGGAATTATAGGTAAGAATTACTGAAACCTTGACATATTATTACTTATTTTCTTAACTTTATTTTACGTAAAAATGGTTAAGTACACGTACGTTACAGATAGTTTAATTAGTTACCAGTTATATTTGTGAGTTTGTGCATGAAACTGGCTAAACCTGTGGAATTATAGGTACATATAGATGATATAGGTTTATCACTATGATTTTTATGTGAAACTTATCATGGCAGATATTGCAGCTGCTGGCAAGAATTTAATTTTTAAGTCACTACTACTTAAGTGCCAAACGTCCACTCAAAGTTAAATGAGATCATTTTTCATTTCAAAGTAAACTGCTTTCTTATTTCGTGATCTCCGAAAAATTACTCCTGACTATTGTCTTGATGTAAACGCTAGTCACTTTCAGTAATAAAGGCATCCAGAGATCGAAGGACCTTTCAAGTTTGGTGTGCGGCTATGTCTTGCAGCCATGCACTGTGGTTGGTGCGTGCTCTAGAACAGAATGTGGCGGATTAACATTTACACATACGGGCAGCGGTGGGCACGCTCAGAGACGGCGTGAGAGCAACGCTGACCGCAGTCGCTTTCCGCGCACCGACCGGCCTCCGCGCACCCTTTCGCACGCACGCTCACCGTAAACACACCCGCCAAATTCAAACTTCGAACTTATGTTCCGAAATCGCCGATAAAATAATTTTTGTTTTTTTTTCCTAATTGCGACCGTGTGCACTCGCGCGTAAACCGAAAACGGGCGACACCGACCAGCCAGTGTCGGTATTGCAACGCGGCCGTTGACATCTGATTGTGATACGGAAACAGATTGTCCAGATTTCGGAACGTAATATCGAATATGTTGAGTTAAGGGCGGAAAATGTGTGTTGTGCTAATGTTCCTCTAACTAACAGTGAAGGTGATAAGGTGATTGTTTATTCATGTGATAGAACGATGGTGGATTCCACATAAAAAAAATCTGAGCAGTGCAACAGTAGAATACTTCGTGAAGTCGATTATTTTTGGAAGGTAAGTTAATGTTATAATTCGCATTTAAGTAGCGGCCGCCTGTTACTCAATGATAAAATATCTTTCGCTTTCTAAATAGTCGACCATGAGTGTTGGTCGCAGTCACGATTACACCGATTTAATTCAGTAACAAAATATTGTGACCGTTAATTATTTCATGGTGGCAGTCTTGTTGTTTTTAACTGGTGTGCAGAACTCGTTTTATGAAAGTAAAACTGTTAAAGCACTTATGTTGTTACATTTCACCCGATTACTCGCAAGCGGAAAAGTGAGCACTTACTCTTAATATTAACTCTCAAATATGTCATTTACGTCAAATTACAAAGCTCTATGTTCGCGCTATTCTAATTAATAGCTGTTCAAGATGTTGAAGAACAGTAAAAATATAATATGACAGTCCTAAGTAGGGAACGGTGTAATTGCATAATTAAAAAGTCGTAACAGTATCACAATCGCACTATACCCATGGCGCGGAGATTGCTTACCTTTGATAAAATTTTGGTCATTAAACATTTGAGTTTCTCACTTTCGATTTATTTATAGATCTAAAGATGACTTTGTAACTGTAACTGTGTACATAAATTTTAATATCTTTCTTACGTTTGTAACGAACCGATGATCGCATATTAATAAGTAAGAGTTTTTGACTCAAAACAAAAATATTTCTTATTTGTAATCTTAAGTGAGAAAGTTCACAGATTTCTTGGTCTTATATACTGAAATTTTGCAGTTACATTTAAAGTCGGAAACTACCTTTAAGGTCTACGATTCGAAAAAGATTTCTTTGTAGATTTTTAAAGGATCTATATAGTAGATAACCAAAATAGTTTCAGTAGTATTTCATTTTATATAGTGGTTAATGAAAGAGTCAGAAATCTATATCTCCTCCCAATTTCATATTTAAAACTATGGTTCCGCCTATTCCAACATCTCGTGGTCGTTTATGTCCCACGCTTGATTAATTTACCGGAGAGTGATTGTATGCACATTTCTTTCTTTAAAATGCATTCATTATAATGACTGAGGAAATCTATATTTATATCATCTATTGTACTACCTTAAAAACTTCTCGGTTCATTATTCTGTAAACACAGTTTCGTACCGGATCTAAACTGTAATCACTTTTCAATTTTAAAACCACAGGCAGAATGGACAAATAGTACAACCACAGATCTTTTGGTGACTTAAGGTATTTTATATTCTTGCTCTGTTTACTGTTGGTTTAAGGTAGTGTTGTCGCGATACCTTTGTTCCCTGAATACTTAGCCAGATAACAAAACTTCAAATGATATATTTAACATTACATTTTTATTGCACTTTTTGTTTCGCGCTAAGTTTGGAATCTCCGACACCACCTAGGTTGGCTGGAAGAGATCTCTTTTAGAGATAAGCCCACCTTTGCTAATTATGTATTTGACTTTCTGTTTTAAACTATATGATGTAATAAAGAGTATAATAATAAAATAATAAAGTTACGATTTAGTCTACAAGCTTGGAATTTAATGTTAGCAAATTTCTATTTTAAAAGTTTCCGATATTATTTCTAAAACCTATTTTGGTTTACAAATCATACTTTCTTTGTAGTCATGAATTATAATGTTAAACTGCAGCTGAAATTTGATACGTTCCAATTTATTTTCTACCGATTAAACGTTGCGTACGAATACCTACTCTTGTTTTTCGGTTCGGTTGCGCTGTCAGAACTCTATCTGGGGGATTGGGTGTTGTAAACACTTTTAGAGCGATGAATGATTAGCTTTAATTTTTAGTCTAGAGTTGTAATTCAATTTCAGTTTGTCTACTTTCTTATCGGTTAATATATGTATTTTTGGTCATACAGTTTCAAAACGCAAGTATAAGCTAATTACAAATATATATAATAGAGGTCATTTCAATAATTATTGGATATTTCATTCTCTATTTATAGAAGTTAAAAAAAACAAATATGTATACACAATAATTTTTGCAAAGGACGGCACAATAAAAATAATCACACTAAAGTTACCCAATCTCACCCCATCTTCTATAAGTTTTTCGTGGAAATGTATAACCGTCTCTAAGGTACGATCTACCTGTATACCAAAATGTATGATAATTAATTAAGCGGTTCAGGCGTAAAAGAGTAACAAACAAACTTAATTTTGTGTTTATAATATTACTTACGGAATAGGATTGAGTTAGTTGCATAGAGTGACAAATGACGATTCATTGGTCTATTAATAAATAAAATATAAAAAACCGGTGATTTGAACAGAGAAAGCAGGCATTTCTTTTTAGATTTCACTAATGATATGTTGTCTAAATGATTTCTGTCAAGTTTTGGGTGTAATGATGTGGAAATAAGTATTTTATAAATAAATCATATTTCTTTATAACCATTATTAGTTGTGCGTAATGTATGTAATAACTATTGGTTATTGTAACGGTGGACACATAATTCACATCTCTAAATCTTTAAAACAATCGGTCTTTAAAACAATCCTATAATCGAAATCGATTTATGCAAATGTTGTCGAAACATACAAGATGTACTGTTGACGCTAAGAGTTTAAATTAACAACTATGTGTAATCTAAGAAAATGATGACTGTTTCTTTTTAAATAAAACAAGTTTCAACGGTATAGATGTACTGATTTATTTATGTATTGACGTTTCGCATCCTTTTCAGGATGCGTCGTCTGCATTATAATAATGATAAATCAGTATATCTATACCGTTCCAACTTGTTTTATTTAATGAGTTGGAAACCTAAGAAACGAATATGTTTCCATTTAGTTCATAATCACTAATACTCCATTTTATTTGCATTTATTAAAGCTAAATCTTTTTCTCTTTCATTTTAAAAAGGTTACTATGTTATTTATGATTACATATCTACATTAAAGCTAGAACAAAAAATGTATAAAGGCATCATCGTGTACTTTCTGAAAGTCCGAGCTTTCCGGCTGTCTGCTAAGGTACAGGTGTATGAAGCTAGCGCATTCTACGTTTTTTTGGTTTATAATTATTTAACATATAATTGTCAACCCTTTAATCGTAAACAGGGGATAAGAATTAACAGTCGCATAACGCAGTTTCTATTTTCATTGAATGAATGAAAATAAACTATATTTTATTTTACTTTTAAAAGATTCGTTGAATCATGTTTACTTTTATTTCAACCTTTTAGGACATCTTTTAGCTGACAAGAAGCACGTTTATGCTGGCTGAAACTTGAACCGAGTGATTATTTATTTCTAGTTAAAAAAACTTTTAATTACCAAATCTATCACGGTAATGCATAAGATAACAATACACAACATTGAAGGTTGTAGCAAATATCAACTCGGAAAGGAATCGTCATCATATCAACTCGAGCCCTTCAGTATTCTGTATGTGAAACTCCTTACTGCACTTATTAATCGGAAACGTATGGTAACCGCATCGCCTCTGACAAGCTAGATTTGATACGGTGACAATCCCTTTTTGAGTTGATATGTCCGTCTCCGTCTGGGGAAGTAACTTCCACCTTACAGAAGACACAGTAAAATAACACTACCTTTTGGTGATATTGTGTTTCTGTCGGTAAGTGAGGCTCTAGAGCTCCACTGGGTAGGGGATTGGGTCAGGGTAGGCAACGGCGCGAATGATATTTTTTGTATCAAAAGCATCTATCTAGAGGTTATGGTGGCCGCTTTCCATCAGGCGGGTCATATGCTTGTTGTTTGCTACCATTTCTATTATGACCATTATCCAACTGTAATAAGTTGCAAGGTAATTTGCCGAGGTTTTCCAACTTTGCGTTTTGCGTGTCCACCAGCGTGGTGTACTGTTAATGTTACTATCCAATCAATGCGTCGGTTAAATACAATATTATGCAAATGGCGATAAAAGTGAAAAAAGGCTGGCATTCCACGGGCCGGCGCCGGCGCAGCTATGGACCCGTTCGAACGAGATAGAAAGTGAATGCGTGCGAGTCGGGCTGCCACACTTCGGCATAGCATTCACTAATGTCATGTATAGCACGCTACGCAAATTGATGTCCACTAGACTAGTTTAATCGCGAACGTAGTTAGTCATGAGACACTTATAATTGTATGGTAATGATGATGTTATCTTAAGTCCGACTGCGCCAGAAGGAGGGTTATGCTTTTTGGATGTATGTATGAAGTACTTGTATATTTCATTAGCGTGCTCTAAAGCTGAAAATTCGAGGTAGGTCATACCGGATGTTCCACAGGAACAGGAATACCCGTCTTGGGAAGTAACCGCCAACCAACAGAAGACACAGTAAAATAACACTACATTTTGGTGGTGTTGTGTTTCTGTCGGTGAGAAAGCTTCCAGTGCTCCACGGGGTAGGGGATTGGTCAGTGTAGGCAACGGCGCGAGTGATATTTTTGTATTGTTATCGTGTATAGGCTGTTTGCAACCCTTTTAACATAAAAAAACAAAACGGATTGCTAGATTTAAGCTAGACAGCTTATTTATTTCTTAGGTTTTCACGCACAGCACTCATTAAATAAAACTAGTTTTAACGGGTTAATGCACGAAACTTTATTTATTTATTAACGTTTCGCAGCCTGCAGACCTTTTCAGGTCTGCATCGTCACAATAATTCGTCATTCTGACGATGCAGACCTGAAAAGGCTGCGAAACGTCAATAAATAAATGAAGTTTCGAGCATTAACCCGTTAAAACTAGTTTTATTTACACAGCTCATAAATCTAATATCCACTCAGTCAAGGTGTCAGGCTGAATTTAAATCAGCGGCTTACAATATGAGGGTTTTCTTTAGCTCGATTTGCGATTAATGGCAATTGGGTTATCAGTCGGGTTTCTTTTTTATTACCAAAAGCAGCTACTAGCCATCTCCGAGTATAAATTATTTCGAGTAACTTACTGAATTTTTCAGTATAATTATAGTGTATGAAAGCTTAGGCTCCTAGCGATGGGATTGGTAATTGAACAGATAATATGGACTCTATATCATTCTCAACTCAAAATAAAGAGTGTGGGCA